CTCCAACATTGATAACCCACATACATTTTGTTTTTGATGAAATAGGGTCAAAAAAATCATATTTAGAATTCCATTAAGTTTGTTTATTGTTTCCTAAGAAACACAAAAACACTGTAAAAATATAAGGCTCTAAATGGTGAAATGGATCCGGCGTAATGGATTTTTTTTTTYTTTTGTCGGCAAAGCATTGTATTAATTAATAAAAAAGACCATCATAGGATACAAACATCCTACAATGACAGATACATGTCTGCATTAAAGGGTAATCATACCCACGCAGGAAACATACAACCTATGAATAGGCAAAGACAAACTGCCGAAGAGGTACATAAAATCCCTCGAAGGAGAAGAAGTATTTCTTCAAAAAGAAACATCCAAATCCCGATAACCGGAAAACTACCACAAATCGGCGTAAAATCGTTGTGGAGAGCTGCCTAGCATAACAACTACGATAGCAGTGTAAGACTGTTGTAGTGGCGTAATGGATCAATCATAACAAATTTATCTGTTCTATAGTATGGATTGCTTAATATCCATTTCTCCATTCACAGCCTAAGAAATACACATACACGTAGCTATTATTGTTGTAGAGATCAGGCCGGAGTTTGATACATCACTTAACTTTTATGATGTCATAATATTCGATTAAAAAATTGTAACGTATGCTTTTTTGTCTTTTGGCTGATTGTTTAATTATAGAGATAAAAAAAGGCAAGGCACATGTGAAGGAGCAGATTTCAGTGAAAGTCATCTGTCATTTGTCAAACATCAGACATTTTAAGTTTTTAGACATGTGCTCCACTTATTTTTTAGCAATAATTGAGTAACATATCTTAGATATTTTTGTGGATTGTTTCTTATTTAATTATTTATAAAATTACAATAGTCGACCCAAGTGAAAATAAAACAATCGACGTAGAAAAGCACTTAATCAAAGTGAAATCTAAAAGCTTAGATTCATAAATTCAAATACGGGATAAAACTATCAGTACCCTATATCAACCCTGTTAAGTCACCTTTAAAACATTACTTAACTTGTTAGTCCTCTAAAAACTTATTTTATCCGATTTCATCGACTCTAGTCGCTAAAACAATCATTTAAGAGGGTTAATAATTTTACCTTCGAAATAGTATTTTCTGCTAATCTTAACACATCAACATATCAGGGACCATCTCTCTTGAGGCATATGGCGGCTCAAGCTGTCATATATCACATTTGGAGGCAGATGAATAATGTTTATCACAATCAGACTATCATTCTGCTCGGACCATATTCAAAAACTTGGATCGGGAAATTCGCAACATTATCAACTCTCGAAGAAATCGGAAACATTGGATTAATTTAATGCATCTTTGGATCAGGTAACAACAACCATACCAACTCCAAATGATATGCAAATTATTGTAATTAAGTTTTTTTTTTGCCTTAGTTGCTTTGTTCTTAAGTCTTACTTTTTTGTAAAGCCAAATAATTCATTTCTTAAATGATATTTACAGGAAAAAAAAACACATCAACATAACTAAGACGTATTTAAGCCAATTTATCTCTAACTTTTTTATTGTTGTGTAATAAATAAATGAGCTGATAATTTTTATTTTTTTTTACGTTTGAAGAAGATTGAATGTCTCTGTAATACACATTGCCCATTGATGTTTTGTACATAAGCCATGCCAAGGTATAGATATTGACTTTGGAAGTGAATTTTTCTTAGGTTAGTTTCGTATATGACTTTCATTAATGTAAACCATTCCATATGGCTCATCTGGTTGATAATCACCAAACATTCATTGATAGGTATTTGTCTGGTTCATATTAAACGATGTTCGAGGACAAAAAGGTCCATTTAACGAATATGGCAACTGTTTGAATGTATTTGGTATTATAATGTTTGAAGTTTTGAACGAATGATAAAACAATAAACGTGCCCAAAATATTGTCAACATTTCGCCTTCAATCTTCTAACCAACTTTCTAACTAAACTCATAGCTACACCTACACGCATGATATTATATCATTTAGAAACGTCTGGAAACTTTCCTCACTAGATTTGGTTTTCATATTAAATTTAACAGTACAAAATTTTTATTGTTTGTCAGATTCAGACAAAAACAGACGTGTCTCTCAGTCTTGCTTCTCATGAACAACGAATGGTTAGATGACACATGCTCGCTAGTGGACCACTTTGATTGATAAGCTGGGTAACTTATCGAGCGTGCATAAAAGAACACGCAATATTATATGGGGTCAAATTCAGAGCTGAATTCATCTTTTTTTTCCTTTTAATTATTACTATGGTTCATCTTTTGAACCTCGTCCAATTATCACAAATGGGTAGAATTTTTACCGGAAATATTTGTGATGTCTAGGAAATAACGCAAAGAATATGTATAAACCCGAACAAAAAAGAAGAAAATTCTATAATAAACGAGTTGAGTTACATTCTGAACAAATTATCCATAATGATTTAACCATTTTCAGTCTGCTATTGAAAGCTATATTACATACTGATATACGTAACCATATTTGATCAAAATTGTATCC